TATGGTGATTTATTGTATATGAGAGTTCCACTTGTATTTCAATTATGAACTAAGGGATGAAGGAGATCAAGAACCGACTCAGTACGATATGCATGAGTACATTAGCTATACAGGATAACTTAGAAAGGATTACCACTAAAAAATAGCTCACGTATTTTTTGGCGTTTTCCTTTCATTGCTCATAATACCGAGAGAGTCGAAAAAAGGCGGAATAATCATTTCTCGTTCAGCAGCCAGTCTTCCATTGCCATTACTACTAGTCGCTATATAAAATATGTGATTTTTCTCATTAAAGTTGTCGAAATTTAGGAATGATTGCTAATCACTCGTAAACTGACACAAATTCGTGGACCTAGTATCCATGGAAACAAATAACAACGCGGAGGGTATTGGAAACACAAAACAAATATTGAAGTTTATGTTTCGTTGTTTAGACATAATGAAGTTTTTAGAAAATCGGAACATTGCGAAAAAGTGAAAATGGTGATAATTTAAATGTTCAGAAAGAACGCCCATGCAAAATACTAGGTAAATATGGCATCAAAAATGGAACAACCCCTGTAAATAATCTCCAAGGGAAGTTCAAAGTTAAATATCCCCTACGAATTAGTGGAATATTAAGTATGATAGTCTTCCAACCGTCTACATCCTGAGTACAGAATCCAAAACGGTTTCCCAAGGATTCATGGTATTCTTTACGCTTTTGAATTGATTGAAATGCGATTAGGTGATAGAGACGTCATAGGAAAGGACGTTTTAACAGGGACACATATTACCAGCACGGTTAGTAACAAAAGAATTAAATAAGACTGACAGGTGCAATCGTAAACGTACTATTGTGAGTATATAATGGAATCTTTTCCTACGCAAATTTTTTTTGTACTTTTCCTTATTGTGGATTACGTTTATTTCAGGTTGGTCTTGAAATATAGTTGAACGTTTTGTAATTTTCCAAGTTTACAATCGATTGCACATCATGACAGATCCCATATTAGGTGTTTGTTAAAACACTAAATATGATAACTCTTCAAAGCATTAACCGACGTAGTGAGTATTAAGGCTTCTTTCGTGTAGAAGATTGTTTGAGTCACATTTAAAAACAAACCCAAGCCTCATCGTAAAATTAAATGAACGTCAACAGCAAAAATCAGCAGCAAATATGATTTCGATTGATTGGAAAATTCCCTCTAACAAGTTCCGTTTTCAAAACGTGCTTTAATACTGCATTCCATTGGCGTATGTCCGTATACGTTACATGTATACACGCTGAAGCCAAGAAGAAATCTGACACCTTCGATCGTCTCTGATATCTTCCCAGTTCGAACGCAAAAACGTGCCTTTTCCTTTTTATTGCGTCCATTTTCGCCATCTTTATTCACTTTTAAGTTACTTTCTACGATTAGCAACTCACGGCAGGGCATTCATATGAACATTGATATTTTAAGGAAAATGTTTATTTTTTGCACGTTCTATTTATAAATTTCGTATATGCAAAATATAGACCGCATAAAAATATTCATATCTTCAACAGCAAACATTGTCATTGGATTAAATTCAAGAGAGTAAACTCATGGCTCACCAGTTGGAGCGCCAGTTGGAGGGTCCGAATATCAGGTGCCCCAAGACCTGGACCGACGACAGCTGGTAATGCTACTTATAAAAAGTACAAGCTGGTCCTCATCCAGTGCACGATATGTTGTCTTCCTGCCAGCTTACAAAAATGAGCGGAACCTCTTTGATTGGATGTATGCAGCATGCACAGTAGATGCGCTAAACCAAAATTCTAAAATGCGTTTTCGACTCGATAAGATTACTTAAGTAAGGTTGAAATATCAATAATCTAGCAGAACACTCCCAAGATAATTCAGTCACTTCAGGATACCAGCTTTTGAAAAAATTTTTGGGCCGCCCTTAAAAGTACACTATGTAAAAAAATGACTGCCTATGTAGCAGGCATTTTTCTCAGTGGTTTTCGATTCCCGCATAAATTTAAATATAATTCATAGAAAATTTGCATGAAAATATTATCTTTCTACAAATTTGGTGAAAAATCACGTCTTCTTTAAATTTTATGTTTAAAAAGGGTAGAATATGATTTTAAAAGGCTTCTAATTATGAGATTTTTAAGGCCGGGGAGTGCCCGTTGACAAAACATCACGCCGCTTCGTTTACTACTGGGGCTCGTAAGGTTTGCATTTCGGTTCAAATCTAATATTTACTTTTATAAATCACACGCGGTCATTTGTTAATAGTGAATAGAAATGTTTGAATTCCTGTAGACGCAAAATAGACAACTTGTAGTTTGAAAACCCTGAACGCAATGGTAACGACAGACTAGGTTCAAAATTATTCTGGAATCGGAAATGTTTTCTAAACCGAATTATACCTTTCCCTTGGATATAAAAGTTAAAGGTGTGATTTCCTATCAAATGAAAAAAGGCTGAATATTTTTATTCAACACATTTGAATTTAAAAGGACATCAAAAACCAATGAGAACAGTTTATGATACTTCAGTAGTCAGTGCTTATAGAATGTAGTTTTTCAGGCGGCCGAAGTAACCAAATTACCTTAAGAATATTCTGCAAGGCGATTGATATGTCGACCCTACTTAAGTAATCCTTCCGAATAGAAAACGGATTTCAGAATTTTGTTTGACATTCCATGGGTTAGCACATCTACTGTAGTTCGGAATCCCCGAATACAGGTGCAGGTGGGGAAAAGTTATTCGAGAATTGATAAGTTTTCTAGAAACCGAAGAACACGTTTTTCTCAAGAATAACATTTTAAGAAAACTCAATTCACTACCAAATGACTTTGAGGAGGAATATTTTAATGCATATTTTTAAAAAAAATAAAATATAACCAATAAGGATGTCTAAAATTAGTGGAAAAATTCACGTCATATAAACATTCCTTTTTCAAGGTGGTTTTTGCAGACAAACGAAAGAAGGCTCATTCAAAGACCACCATTCCCGATCTGGCTGAGAGATCTAAGGAGTATGCTGCGCAACAGTTAATTTGCAACCATACGTTGACAATATTTTTGGGCCGAGAACACAGTTCAGAAATTCGGTTTGAAGTTCATGAGAGAGCAAATTTTCCGTGTGTGTGTGTGTGAAAGATCGCCATCGTTGCCCTACGGGACAAGTGCGTACGTGGTTCAATAGTGAGTTTCTGACTCCACTCATGAACTAGGCCGTTTAAAGCAATTTCTTCCGTGCTCATACGAGCCCCATTTGGCGAGAGTTAGAGAAGTATCATTATTTCTGTCCTCACCTTGAAGTCAATTTTTCCCTCTTTAGCTGTCACATCTACCTCCTTTAAGACCGAAATCACAAAAGCTCCGGGCAAAACATCTATGATTTAGCTGTTCTGTGTAAGATGCAGCAACATGGCAGGTCATTGAAGCACATATTAATATATCATGTTAAAAAAGGCTTTCATAGATATTTTGGCAGATTTTGAAAAATTAGTATTGACCCAGCTGTGGAAAACTCGGCGCCTAGGTGGGATTCAAACCCACGCAGTCAGGGGAAGGCTTTAGTACAGCCAAAACTCTAAGCACTTGAGCTACGAGGCCCTCGGAATTATTCAAAATCTGCCTCCTAGCTCAAGTAGTTGGAGCGTTGGCTGTACTAAAGCCTTCCCCTGACTGCGTGGGTTCGAATCCCACCGAGGCGCCGTGTTTTTCACAATTGGATAAATATGCATTATTCAAAATCGGATCCCTCCTCTCCGGCTGACGGTTATCTGCGTAAGAAACATCAGTTAGACAGTGGCATCAAGTAGAAGTTACATGCAGATACACTTATTCAAACTTGTTTCTGTTTCTGGGTAGCTATGACTCACTGCCCGAATGCCTGTCTCCCAAAGGTGTGATTTCCACACATAGTGAGGCAGAGTGGCTCGTGCGCATTGCACCAACGACAAGACAATGCCAAAATGGTTGGAGGCGTATTCGCGTCTACGCGCATCCCACACAACCCGGCTGCACACGGGGCAACTCGGATCTCCTGTGTGTGAGAGAGAGAAGCAGGTACGCCGACCCAACCCCCTCCACCTCAGTTGTCTTCGCCGTACCCTGAGGCGGAGGCGCCAGAATCGGATCCCCGACACTGCAGCGTGTTCGGCCATTCTCGTTCGGAACTGCGGCGGTGCGGAGAAATGACGCCAGCTCCCAAGTCGCGGCTCATTCGACGAGATCCGGCCACACATTTAAACTCGACGAGGCCGAAATTCTCGCAGGAGGTGACAAACGCGTGAGCCGGAAGCTACTTGAATCATGGTTTACTGGCCCCCAGTCCATTAACAAATGCAATAAACTTCCCCTTCCATACTCTGTACTGAGATTTCGCCTAGGCTGAGTAATTGGCCGCGCTGGGAGCGCACAGGTGAACACTTCTCCGAACGCCAGGGTCGGTGCGCCAGGTGGTCGAGCAATCCTCAGACACCAACGTCCAACGCATGTGATGAAATTGCAGCAAATAAAGACGCGAATGTTGGCCATCAAGCAGCCATCACACCACGTGCTACGATCCCTGATGAAGGGGGAGCAGTGAATATTCATGGGTATGCGGTAGCATGGCGACTGCATCCTATAAATACTGCAGCCCCTGGTGTATGAAACACCCGTATCTGCTGTTGTCTCTTTTGATGGGTTCAAGCAGGAATCCGAAACGTCAGGCTAATAAAGCTCTTGTCCCAGCGATCGTGTCTCCTTCTTCAAGACTACTTCCTGGGACTCGTCTCTTCGCTTCTATTGGCGATGCATCAACCGTCAACCCACACAGCCACTCCTACCAACGCGCCGCAAATCAGTGCGAACGGAACCCAACTGCAATTGGTGGGGAACTTCCCGTAACTAGGCAGCACCCTCTCCCGCGACACCAAAATCGATGACGAAGTTGCCAACAGGATCTCAAAAGCCAGTCAAGCCTTCAGCCGCCCCCAAAGCACAGTTTGAAATCGTCATGATCTCCAACTGATCACGAAGCGGAAGATGTACAAGGCCGTCATCCTGCCGACGCTGCTGTACGGAGCGGAGACTTGGACAGTGTACACAAAGGAGGCACGCTGTCTGAACCACTGCCACCTCAGTTGTCTTCGTCGCATCCTGAGGCTGAACTGGCAGGATCGAGTCCCCGACACTGATTTGCTGGAACGGACGGGAATCCTCAGCATCTACACAGTGCGGAGACAAATGCAGCTGCGCTGGAGCGGCTACCTGGTGCGCATGGACGATGACCAACTACTCAAACGGCTCTTCTACGGAGACGTCGCGACGGGTTCTTGCCGCCAAGGAGGCCAAATTCGGCGATACAAGGACACTCTGAAGTCCTTCCTGAAGCGTCTGCAAATTAACTCGATCAACTGGGAGGAGCTCGCACTCGACCGACCGACCTGTTGGAGGACAATGAAGACAGGCACAGCGATCTACGAAGCCAATCGCATCGTTGCTGTCAAAGTGAAACGCGAAGCCCGCAAATCACAATTTCACCCAGTACGCAACGCCGACGCACAACCGCTTCCAATGTGTCCTCGATGTAAACGGACATTCCGGGCTCGAATCGGACTTGTTGGACACCTTCGGATCAACTGCACCTCCCGAACTGCACCAACCATAGTCCCCGCCCGCCTCTTCCTCCCCTCCGCCGCCAAGTAACTCTGACAATTCTTCTGAACCACCACTTCCATCCTCGTCCTCCTCCTCCTCCTCCTCCTCCTCCTCCTCCTCCTCCTCCTCATCCTCATCCTCCTCCTCCACTGCTCCAACGACTGCCGCTCAGGCGACTGTCACGCGCGCAACGACCGACACTACCACCACCTCCCCCGACTCTAGTGATGAGGACCAGGACTACGCCTGCCCTCACTGCGACCGCACCTTCACCTCGCACATCGGCCTGGTCGGTCACTTGCGAATCCATCGCACAGAGACTGGCGAACCAGTGCCTGGAGCACCAACCTACACCTACCGCACTCGCTTCCACTGCCCACACTGCCCTCGCACCTTCACTCATCGCATGGGCATATTCGGCCACATGCGCATCCACGACGACCTTCGGTAGACAACCGCCGGTTGCATCGCACCCTCCCGCCCTGTCTCCCCATCAACCACCACCTCCCCACCACAAATCAACACTCTCCTACCGCGAGCACCCAACTACCACCTCCCACGCAAGTGGGAAGTGTGCATCTCGACTCGGTCACCATGCAGTTCCGGCTGCACGGGCGAGCTGAGTCTGAGACTATCCCGACACGTCAAGCGTCGTGGATAGGAAGGTTTCTGTTTGACGCCCACACTCGGTCCACGCAGTTCGTCGCGTTGTGTGTGTGTGTGTGTGTTGTGTAGAGTGACAGACTGGAAGGCTGGGGACGGGCTGAAACAGCACCTTCCACGGCCCGCTCACGCAAGAGAGAGAGACACGCCGTTCAACCCCCGTTGTGTGAAATCCTGGTGTGTGTGTGAGTGTGTGTGTGTATGGGGGCCAGGTCGTGCACGTGGCGCGCGCAGCCATGGTCAGTCGAACATGACAGCCACCGCACCCATTTCCCAGTCTAGTCTGCTGACCGGCACGGACAGCGGCTTGGGCGTGGGAATGGGATGGCAGAGTGAGGTCAACGACTCAGCGCACTTTCTCCTCACTATCAACAATCTGACGTGCTTGAAGCTATCACGGTGCGCTAAAAGCCGTGGCTTGGAAGGTTGCCAACTGAAGGGATAACTTTGACCTCCTTCGTGACTGTTGGTGGTCTGAGAGTCAGGCTGCAATGGCTACCTCTCCAATGTGGCCTTTGACACTCCCACCACAGTGTGGAATCTGAGCCAGGCGTTGGCGGCACGTCTAGGTGAGGCTTCGGCCGTGTCAGCCTCCAACCCCTGTTGTGTTGGTTGAAATCCTGGTCATTTTTTGTGTGGACCAGGAGGTGCGGAGTGGAGCGCCCCGTCCTTAAACTGAATCTGCTCGCCTGATTCTGAGCCTCGGCCAGCTGATAAGAACTCCTTGTTCGACTGCCGGCCTTCTCATCGCCGAAACTCAGCGTTTATGCAGCATTCTCGTGGGTCTTAGGCGTGGACCGCTTCACGTGACCGGCGAAAGCCGCCTCTTTCGCATTGGGCAGCCCACATGAACTTGCGTTCATTGAATCCAAAACCTCTGTTTGCCGGGTGTTTCGGATTCGCACCAGCAACAGAAAGAGTGGAGGATAGGGATGTACAGCCAGTGACTGATTTCATAAAATGCTAGCAAAAATTCTGAAATGCGTTTTCGGTTAGGTTTATCTTTCAAGTGGACTTGTAATATTAATTATCATGTGGTCTAATCCCATGATGTTGGGAACTTGCTGAGGTGTGAGCTTATGAATGCACTCTTTTTAGAACATCTCTAAAAGCCGCTTCCGTCAAAAAATGACCATTGACTGTTCGCCTGTCTAAGAAGGCCCCACACAGAAAGTTTCATAAGTGATCGTGATTTCGAATACCTCCGGCCAGTCGGCACACATAGTCCACGACTATATGGTTTACCTAAGATCCATAAGGAAGGCCCGCCGATTCTACCGATTTTAGACATATGAAACTCTCCGTATCATGCGATAACAAAGTGGTTGGCAGAGAAACTCAAGCCCATACAGCATCAGCTAACGCCAAGCCGCTATCAGCATACCTTTGAATTCATTGACGACATCAAATACCTTAACCTTAACGACATGGTGTTGTTCTGGCTAGACGTCTCATCACTTTTACAAACGTTCAGATCACTGAGACAGCTAGTTATATCTATGAGTTCTTATTACCCAATCAGTAAAAAATAGTAAGTCCGACAATCACAGTCAGGAAATTGTTATTAAGAAGTATATTACGTGTACAGTTCCTTTTTGACAACCAACTCTATAGACAAATTGACGGCGTTGCAATGGGCCCACCTCTTGAACATCCCTTAAGCAATATCTTCAGGGGCAAGCTGGAGAGAGTTCAGCCAAACGATCAGATAAATAAGCTTAAACATAACGTTCGCTATGTTAATGACATGTTTGCAATTGCCAGGGTAAAAACCGACGTAGCTTCCCTTTTAAATGATGTAAATCAGGCACATTCGCCTATCAAATTCAAGTTGGAGATGGAAATGGCCGGATCGCTCCATTCTTAAGTGTTCTCCTAGGCAGGAGGCCTGACGGTAGTGTCCGAAGGAGCGTCTATTGGAAGAAAACTTGGTTTGAAAATTAGACGGACCTTGGCAGTTTCGTACTCCTCCAGAAAAACGAAATCTAGTCCGATTGATTAGCATAAAAAACTGGAAACATTTTCTCAACAGACAGCATCAAGAAGAAGCATGGCAAAATCCAATATTTGCTTCAGGAAAACAAGTATTTTGATAGGTTTATCACAAAGAACATCGCCGAGGCGATCGGTAAAACCCACCGCACTGACTGCTAAAAAGAAAACTTTGCCCCTCAAAGTCCCTTTTCAAGAGGACCCTGCGGGTGAATTTCTAAGAAGACGCCTTGAGCAAGCTATGACGCGAATCTTACTAGGAGCAAGGGCTTGAATATTATTATCCACTAATTTTATTTTACACAGATCAGGTAAGGATAGGTTGCCACTTCAGACCACCTCATTGTGGATCTGTTCTTCAACTTGCTCCTGTGGAGTAGGTTACGTTGGTCGTAAGAGTCGGCGTCTATCAAAAAGAATACGAGAACACCTCCCGCAAGTCTGGGAAAAGGGCGGAACTAGAAGCATAAGCAGCGCCATTCTTATGCATGCAATTTATTCCGGGTATCGTGTATACCCCGACGAAGAATTTTGTGGGATTTATAATGTCCCCTCGAGCAATTCTAAGCTATTGGGACAAAATTAGTTGGCAATGGCAGAAGCGGCCACAGTCAGGTTGCGAAATCGACCCTGTGTGTGCAGAGGGATCTCATTAACTCCTTTCCACTCTCTTTCTGCCTCTGTTTTAAAAACTAACTTTTGTCGATTTTCCAACCACTGACATGTTTGACTGTGCCCTTATCGCATATAATTGTACTCGCCTAGAGAGAATTTATCGAAAGCAAGCGTTTGCTCGCCAACCCGTTATCTCAATACTGATACGGGAATTTTCGCAACTCCAAAATGACGATTTAAGTAGCATGCCTTTCTAGCATTCATATTCGGTGACCTTATAAATCCAAATATATTTTATAGAAAAGAGGTCCTTTGGTAGAATGTCGCGTCCTGTCGACATTTGATGCTCGAAGAAGTTGCATATTTACGTTTTGAAAACGTTTTCTAGTTTCCTAATAATTATGAGCTAGATCAATCGTTGCATTAACGTTCTGGTCTACAAAGTGTATACGCTCGGTATAAGAAAAATCCAATACTCCTCTACTTTATACAATTTTGGCAGTGGATGCGCGGTATATTGAATACTTAATGAGGAACATTAATAAACATAAGGGTACGATGCCGTATGAGTAGACATTGCATGATCTTGGAAAATTCCATAATAAGAAGCTTCTTTATAATCGAAAGACACAAGTTCTTCGGATATATAACCGACGTGATGTACTTCCATTTAAGTAAAATAAAGCATATTCTTGTGCATGTTTTCTGTGAAACAAATTTGAATTTTTCAGACCACTGAAAATCAATATAAAAAATACATAATAAGTAAGTAATCATTTTTGCCGAGTGCAGTATTTACAGATGATTGAAAAGAGTGCATTAAAAAGCCAACATTTAGGCGAGTCCTCTTTATTATGAGATTACGCCGAACGGTACTCAATATTACAACCCCACCCAAGTAATCATTCCTGATCGGAAACGCATTTCGGAATTCCCCCTAACATTTAATGAGAGCAGGCGAGCAAAATATACGTTGCAACAATCTAGTTTTTTTCCCTGAACAGCTTCTTGGCACCACCTTTCTGGTATATGTCCGCTAGTTCTCTCTTTAAGACGGAACGTCGGCCCCAAATGACTGCTGTAATTCTGAATGGATAGATTTACTTTGGTTCTTCCACACAGCACATAACTGTATGATTGACCAAATGAAAAATAATAATTTGCCCCTGCCCCCGGCATACATCTATTGGGTAAAAATCCAACGATAGAAAAGGTCAACAATTGCACAGCGACCAGCAATATCAATCTCGGGAGCAGTTTCAACAGCATGATCATGCACGTGGTCCATGGTTTCAAGAGTGTTTCCGTGAGGAAAATGTTAAAACTATAAATCTGGCCAACTCTGGCAAGTCTTGTACGAGTACAAATGCTTACAGATTACTGAGTTTTCACTCCTCCCCTGCAGACGGTTATCTGCGAAAAAGGCATCAATTAAAAGGTGGTTGGCTGGGGGCAGGTCGCGTATGAGAGGCATATATGACCTTTAAATTGTTACATCAATTAGGAGTTACATGTTCATGCACTTGTTCAAGTTTGTTTCAGTTTCAGGGTAGCTAGAACTCACTGCCCGAATGCCTGCCTCTCACAGGGGTGAATTCCACACTGCTGCCAGTGTGGGATTGGTATTGACAGTAAGGAGGGGAACATCGCCTTGCTGTGGAGAAGACTGCCCAAGTGTTATTTGCGTTCTCGCCATGTGTGATTAAGACGAATCACCAAGGGTTTAAAAAACTGCAGCCAAACGTTAGGAGGGTGAATTTTTCCAAGGACTCACCAGCTTAGTCAGCTTGTGTTTTTTTCTATCCCAGCCCTAAAAATCATGTGTAGCTAAGGGATTTTCAAAAATACGACCTCTAAAAAGCCAGTCCTTCGAGGGGGCACGTGTTTGCTTTTCTCAACCGTCTGTCTTCAGTAGGAAAAATGCAAATTGTATTTTTTTTCCCCTTCAAAGGGAAACAAGACAGGAAATGAGACCTACAATAGACCGTAAACAATCTACTAAAAGCTGAATTAATTTTCCCGGAAGGAGATGTGAATCAGATGATGAAAATTCCAGATCTGAGTAGGAGTTGTACAGACACAACAATCCTAACTCCTGGCGACATGCTCAAAGTGCCCTTTTACGGCTGTATCGGCGAGATCTTTGGGCAGCGAGCGAAGAAACGTCCTCGACACCCACGCAGTCTACAATATACGATTTAAAGTAAGCAACGTGTTTATCCTCTTCTATGCCGTGAAAGGAAAGTGGGGAGATGGGATGAGCTAATAAAGCAATAATGATCTGGAATTGCAAGGTAAAAATTTTCAAGACTGTTAGGGAGTAAAACATCATCACTACGGAAGGGGACTCATTAGTCAGTAGACTCGGCAGGGCAAGACGTGGTTACAGGAACCCTACGTGGCGCAGGCGGTTTCGGACTAAGTTTCAAGGGCTAAGGTTCGCACTAGGGGTTGGTACCAGAGTTAGGGGATTGGCGTTAGCGTTTAGGTTAAGGTTAAGGGCACGACATGAGAAGAGGAAACCCCCTGGAAGGTAGAATGGGAACCCTTTTAGTAAAGAGGACACGTATTTTGGCGTTCAGTCGCTCACAGGACCTAAAGTAAGCGTTCCTGTTGCATTCTGCCACTACAGAACCCATTTTTCGCCGAATTCTCTATGCCTGCAGTTGAGAGTCCTCTATTTTGTGCGGCTGAAGTATTAGAGGACCCTCGAATATTCTCCCCTGGCATATAAAATTCTTGTTTTCTCGGCATTTAAAATTTTGTCCATAAATTTAGTATAAAGCGTCCAGAATCGTTTTTTCTGCCAAGCAGTCCTTCAGCTGCAAAGCAAAGAAACCAGAATAGCAACTCTCGAAGCTACGATTTCCGCGCACGTAAATTCCTCAAAGGCTTTTCCTCATAGGAAAGTGTCAAATTTAGAAGATTTAAAACAGTTTTATACACTTTCTATCAATACTTATATTACTCCCCATATCGCTGACTGTAGAGCCTGGTTAAACGCTGACCTTAGTCTGACGTTGTGGCTATAACAAATATGTCACTTTCACTTGTGAGAATTAGAGAGGGGGAATCGAACTTTGGAAAAAACTACGTACAAAAACTGTCCTTTTTACCTCCCCCTCCACTTTTCCATCATCATCATCATCATCATCATCATCATCATCATCATCATCATCATCATCATCATCATCATCATCATCATCATCATCATCATCATCATCATCATCATCATCATCATCATCATCATCATCATCATCATCATCATCATCATCATCATCATCATCATCATCGTCGTCGTATTCTTAAACAGATAGCCCAATCAATTTCTTCATGAATGACATAGATTCGGCCTGCATCCGTTTCAAAGAAAAATTACAAAGTAATTTACTGCTCTCGTAGGCGGCAACTCAGACCTAGAGATCTTATTGCCAATTTAAAAAATGTGTCTATGAATGTGCTTGTGATTCCTCAACCAGCAAAAACGACCGAAAGACGCTTGCCTCGTAATCCTGTGAACCCCTACTGGGGCAGCGCTGAACGAAAAAAACTCCACAAAAAATGCTGACGAAAATCTTTTGAATATACAAACGCGGCAGGATTTAGCAGTTCAACGCGTCGGAGGAAGAGGGGCCAGTAACGCCTCACTCCGCTGCTCTGCATAGCGGTCCTATCAGTTGAGATGCCGTCGGTTATCAAAGATGCTGGCTAAGTCTTTTTCTGATATGTACTTTAATGAAACCAACCCACCCACACACAGAAACGAGCGTTGGCTTGCGTGAGTGGCAGCGGACTGTGTCGTTGGGTGCTTCAAGTTATCTTATTTGCCGCCCCCAAAACAGAAAACCACGAAAAATGTGCTAGGAATGCAGGAGAGTCAAGTGTTGGCTTACGGCTCATAGCTATGACGGAGCCTGTTTCGCATGAACCTAATCCACTGGGTTGGCTGTAAAATCAGTAGTCAAAACAGCACAAAGGCCTATCGAAATAAGCGTTTTTCAAAAGACCCAGATGTCAAAAATGCGCACTTTGATGCCCCCATTACCGCGTCTGGGCACTGGTAACTGTTGCGAATGCGGATAGGCCAAATATAGGATAAGGATTTTATTAGTCTCGAGTGACCAATTAAATTTGATAAAGTGGTGTGATTTTTGAGAAGACTAGCCTTTTCTGCCCACGGTCTGTGTTCGAAGGAGGGCGGAGGGAGTTTGGGTGCGCTTTACAAGTCTGCTTCACCATAAATTGACATCCAAGTCCCCGTTCCTGGTCCCCCCCCCTTATGGGTCATTGGTGAACATCGTCGTTTGCGATGATCGAATTAGCACTAAACTCTCACCTGTGGCTGCCCAATAGTGATAGCCCGGTAACCGCCTTGACCTGCGGGCTAAGCCGGATGAGGGTATCTGGTGTTGTGTATCCCTCCACTCGGCTATTCTATTCCCACTCCCATTTACATCGCTCCACCTCCATCCTACATCTCCTCTTCCGTTTCCTCCCTCTTCCCTCCACTTCAAAAAGTCCCAGGACAACTCGGGTTGCCCTTCCCTAAAGAAGGCCGCGAACCTTAGGGGCGTTTGGCGGCCGTAGGGGATATTTAAGCCTCCCTACTTGGGGACGGACCTGCTTACCTGCTGGCCAAAAGGGTGCTCTTAACGAATGCTGAGGAATCAGGCCATCCGCAATTGAACTGTGGCTCGTAGTTGCAAAACTCGCCACCCTGATACAAACAACTCCCGTACCCGTCACTTCCACTTTACCTCACAGACTGGTAGAGTGTCTTTCACCAGTCTGGCTGTCTGGAATGCTGGCTCCCTTTGAGACAATCTGCTAGGCAACTGGCCGAAAGAAATGACCCTTATCTGCTTATGTCTCTGATGATGGATTCGAGCAGGAATCCGAAACGTCAGGCGATCGTGTCTTCTTCTTCAAGAAATGAAGTTGTTGTTAACTTGAGAAGCTGGACGTCGCAGCCCTCAGCAAAGCTCGATTATCCGAACAGGGACAGCTGTGGGAGGTTGCGCCGCCCAAAGACAGAGCGACGTGATGCTAACATCGCCTTTGATACTCGCCAAGACATCGTGAGACGACTGCTCTGACGGGACGAAGAACAAGTTCCACAATGACCAGCATGCCATCTTGTCGGCTGCGCCAAAGACGGGCAAGCTGATTGTCCTTGTTAAGAAGTAGAAGCAGTCACTGGAAAAAGGGTTTTATTTGCCTCGCGCTTCGGATTTCACTTAAACCCATCCTCAGAGGCAGTGGCAGAAACGAGTTATTCGTGCACAGGAAGTTGTGCTATTTATAGGAAGCAGTCGCTATGCTACCGCATACCCATTATAATTAAGCGCTTTCCCCTTCATCAAGAATTCTTTTCCGCGGGTGCGCTAATTGCTTGATGGCCGACATGCAAGTTGTTAATTGCTGAAATCTCATCACCCGTGCTGGATGCCGGTGTGATAATTGCTCGGCCGCCTGGCTCACCGGCCTGCGCGCTCCCCGAGTGGCTAATTACTTTGGCTAAAATATGCCCCAGGACGGAATATGGAGTAGGGATGTCGTTGCACTTGTTGACAGACTGACGTCCAGTGAACCATGACTCAATTAACCCGCGGCTCACTTGATCATCCCCTCTCGCGATAACTTTGGCCTCATCGAACTTGAATGTTCTCGCCCGTATCCACCTCCTAGCTTTCTATGAACATTCCATCCGCGAGTGAACTTATTCGGACATCTGTGAACTCAATAAATTAATAACCTGACAACTCCAACTGCTACCTCCTCGGTCGCCCGTGCTCCAAACCCACACGGGTGACAGAGAGGTCACTACAATCCTCAACGATGATTACAATTCCGGTGTCCAGCTGTCATCTACATTATCTCTGTCACAGGGACGACGACCACCATCTCTCCTGCTCTCCCGACAGCCCGTCAACCACTACCCTCACCATCACCACCACCACCACCGTCGGATGATTTTCGATGCTCTTGAAAATTCAGTTATATTTCATGGAAAACATGCATAAAAATAATCAATATTTTAATTATTCGGTAGAAACTCACGTCTTCTTCCAATTTCATGCCCAAAAGAAGAGTATAATTCGATTTAAAAAAGTTTCTAATTTTGAGATTTTTTTAAAACCGTTAAATTGCCGTTCATGAAACGTCATGTATCTGCATTTACGAATGTGGCTGGTAAAGGTAACAATATTGGTCAAATCCACTGCCTAATTTTATGAACCTCATATGATCTACTATTAACACAGCAGAGAAATGCTTGGTTTTCCGTTCACGGAAAATATACAGCTTCTAGTTTTGAAACCCTGAATGCAAGTATACAATCAGGTCGGGTTCAAAATGATTCGGGAATAGAAAAGCTTTTTAAAACCGAATTATACTCTTCTTTTGAGCATGAAATTGGAAGAAGACGTGATTTTCTACCGAAATAGCAAAAGAATGAATATTTTTATGCATGTTTTCCATGAAATATAATTGCATTTTCAAGGGTATCGAAAATCAAAGAGAAAATTGCATACTGATTAAGTAGCCATTTTTTGCAGCGTATAGATCTTGCATGCAGCCGAAAATAAGTTCCTGCGAAAGCCGACACCCTGAGGTAACTGGATCATTATAGCTCTTATGCTGCATCTTGATAAGTTTTACAACACTACTTAATTTATCTTTTCGAAACGAGAACGCATTTCGAAATTTTGGTCGACATTTCATGAGTTAGCACATCTACTGTATGTTATTATGATATGTGCGTTTGGAGACTAGATCATGAGTGTGGAGTGCGCAAACGTGCTTTCGAAGTCTGTCAGCCACTGGGCTAACTCCATGTATCAAACAAATGGTCTACTCGGACCGCGGACCGGTGTCTAGGAATGGGATGAGGGAGAGAGTGAGGTTGACGGTCTCTGACAAACGTGAATATATCACGGTCCATTTAAAGCTTTGGCTATAAAGAGACTGCTTATTTTGAGCTGACCTTACTTAGTCGTTCATAATTTTCACCGTCACTTGCTGGTGCAAGAATATACCGTGAGCGAAAATTGTCATATTTTCTCAAAAAGGCTCCCATCGGCGCCTGCACTGGAATCAAGGATAGATTGCTGAGGGCAAAAACAGTTTGATGGTTAATCTTTTCGTTTATATCCCAAAATGAGATAAATGAAACTTAAGAGGCCGCGGCAAAAGCATGTTTTGCTTGAGAGAATTACTATTTCCTCGCGGGATCCACAATATTATGAATGCATGCCCTTGAGACAAGATGAGTATTGCTAATTCCACTCACTGTGCCCCGTCCCATATACCTGTATTGGCTTGCCGAGAAGTTATCGAAAGTAACGTTCGCTCGCCACCATTTTTTGAAAAGAAGAACTTCAGTATTTGGAGGTTGGTGTGCAGAAGACCGAAGGCCTGGGGAATCTGTAAAACTCGAAATGCTACTTTTCTCTTTTGAGTAAATGAACTCGATCCTTGTGTCCGTGGAGGCCCTTCAACACTGACGGCGAGCAAACCTACGAGCTGGTCAATCTACGGACAAGAGTAACCAGGAGAGTATATAAAGAATTTTACATTGACTTAATACAGCAGATGTGCTATCTAATGAAATGTTGACTGAAATTCTGAAATGTGTTTTCGATTCGAAAAAACTAGTTAAGGTCTGTGAAATTAATTACCTCGTGGAATAATCTCATGGCGCTTCAGTCACGTCGGGATGCCTGCTTTCAAACAGGCCTGTTTCTGGACGTCTACGAAAAAACTGCGCTCTATAAAAGATGGAAGCTTAATAAGTAGGAATTATTTTAATTGATTTTTGATGTCCTCATAAATTCGTATATAGTTTATGGAAAACATGCATAAAATATCCGTTCTTTTACTTATTTGGCAGAAGATTGGGTTTTTTTAATTCTTATATTAGAATGAAGAGTATGTATCGGTTTTAAAAGTTTTTAGTTTTGCTAGTTTTAAAAGCTGAAATGTCAATTTATAAAACGTCGTATCTCCACACTTATTGCTCTTTCTTGTAAAATATACCATATGGCTCAAACCAGCTTTAACATTTTGTAAAATTCATATAACCTATTTTCAATGGTATATAAAATGTGTCATTTTAAGTACACCTTTAGGTAAGAATTAGTAGTCTGACTTAGTAAAATTACTTTAGACTGCAGTTTTTAAAACAAATTTGAATTTATGCGTTGTGTTGGGTTCCTGAAAATGTCTTATTTTGACTATTCGCAACTGGAATGACAGTGCCGGAGAAGAAACCCCTTAAGTACTGCATGCTTATCCTAGAGAACTAGCTTAGTTTTATATTTTTACAGCTTCCAGTTCTTGGTCCCGCTGCTTATAAGAACACTGGGAATTCAAAGTGAGCCTTCGCTGCAGTCGCAAGTGGCGATTGGAGTACATTTGCCAACTGCGTCTCAAGCAGTATAGTATGATGTCTAGATTTGGAGGATAAGAGACCCCGTTTTTTCTACTGCCCTTAGTGCCGACGTCACGTTTATGACTTAGTGGCATATATTTACGTCAGTAGGTTTCAGGAGTGTCTGCAAGTCCTTCTTGCCTTCCACTTCAAAACCATTATATGGACAAGAGCGCCGTGGTGATTTTACAGCCAATAGAAGACAAACAAAGAAAAATGCACTACAAGTCGAAAGTCAACACTTAGCATGCCCGAGTAAGAACGAAATGAGTAGTACTTTTCGACCTTAGATAACGACAACAGGCAGGTCTTCTTGAAATGCCAGACTGGTGTGCTTGAATTCATCTAGCTGAAGGAAATTCCCTTTGGATTTGGTAATCACGGGTTTTCAGTGAATATGGTCAGAAAAGACAATACCCCACAAGGCGAACACCACTTATCATAACGTTTTCTCTTGCTTAGGGGTGACGCTCATACCTTATTCACTACGTCTTGCATGACGTCTGATTCAGGGGTAACGAAAACGGATTTCCAACGTACAAAATCATGCACGTTTCTACTAGCCGGCGACTGAAGTGCGTGAAAGTGTCCTGGCGTGACGTTCTTCCCTCTGTCATTCTGTCTTAACATGTTTGGTGAGGAGCTTTGATCTGTTCCACACACATACCTCGCATTTAATCGGCTGCTCGTTGAGCTAGTCGGAGAGTAATACTAACTGCTAAAATGGGCATTTTGAAACTACAGTAGGTGGGCTAACTTATGAAATGTCAACCGAAATTCTGAAATGCGTTTTCGTTTAGAAAAAATTAATTGAGTAGGGTTGTAAACCCAATCATTTTGCAGCATAATTCATTTATAATTCAGTTATTCCAGGTTGCCGGCTTTCGAATGAATTCCCTTCCGGCTGCATGCAAAAGCCACAGTCAGTAAAAAACGGCTACTTAAGTAGTATGAATTTTTTTCATTGATTTTCGATGCCTCTAATAGTCCAATCATATTTCATGGAAAACGTGCATGAAATATTCACTCTGCTGCTCATTCGATAGAAAATTACGTCTTCGTCCAATCTTACACTCGAAGGAAGTGTATAATTCGGTTTTCAAAAACTTTTCCAATTCTCGAATAATTTTGAACCCGACCCGTCTCTACACTTGCATCCAAGGTTACAAACTTCAAACCGTATATTTTCCGCGCACCGAAAGCCACAAATTTCTCTATGGTAATAAAGGGGGGCCATGTACGGTTCATAAACGTTAGCAGCAGATTTGAGCTATATTGCTAACTTTTCAAGACGCATTGGTAAATGTAGAGACATGACGTTTTATGAACGGCCATTTCACGAAATTAAAACATGTCACAATTAGAAACTTTTTAAAAAACCGAATTATAACCTTCCTTCGAGTAGAAAATTAGAAGAAGGCGTCATTTACTACCGAGTGAGCAAAAGAATAAATATTTGTACGCATGCATTCCATGAAATCTAATTGAATTTTTATGGGCATTGAAAATCAATGAGAAAAATGCTTGCCACCTAAGTAGTCATTTTTGCGAAGTGCAGTTTTGCATGCAGCCGAAAGAAGTTCATTCGAAAGCCAGCATCTTGAGGTAACTGAAATATTATAGAATTATGTCGCATGCTGACAAATTTAACTACTCTACATCATTAATCTTTGTGAAACGAAAACGCATTTCAGAATTTCGTTTGACATATAATGAGTTAGCCTACTTACTGTAGGTAGTCCGCCCTAGAACAACAGACATGTAGGCTTTTGAATGAAAATTCCACCACATCCCATCGACAGTCAAAGTGCCTTTAAACACTTTCGGTCACATCTTCGATTAAGTCTGCAGAGTCTGAGAATATCGATCAGAAACGTCTGATGCTCGATGCCAGTGTCCCAACGAACGGAATGCCCTTGAGGACACTCTCCAGGCAGTGTCCATATCTCCACCGGCAGATGACCTACTTGCCAGAACGAAAATTTGGACTTGCGATGAGGATTTAGGGGGAAGGGTTCTGGCGATTTTTGAATGCGAAATGTTGATTTATTGGAGGCTGACAGGTCAAAGCTGTTAGAGATGGTGAGTCTGAACACGGGTACTTGGAGAATATTTAGACGATTTTCCAGATTTGCCTGGTAGGTTTATGCATCGTCTATAAGAGAAAATGCAAAAATATGGATAAAAAAGAGAAGACAGGCTTCGTTAAAGACTCGCCGACAACACAACTCCCGACTAACGTGCGTGAATAAATGTAACGAATAACTCACAAAATATGCGTAAATTATAAGAAATGGCTGTTTAAAAGAGCATTTGACTTTCTTTTTACTACCAAAGTGTATGAAATCATTCAGCAAATTAGGGCGTTGACTTGGTACGTGGTTGGTTACCTGACGTTTAACAGCCAGGTCCTCTTCACCGCACAGCATATTTTTCGACTGACGTGATCACAGCGATACAATAACATTAATCACATTAAAATTTCGCTGAAGGACTTTTCAATATTCAAAGCACACAAAATTGCTTGTACGTATACCGTTATATAATAGCTTAACTAATTAAAAATCGGCACTTTCGGCTTACAGTTGGGCGTCCATCCGGCTTCAAAATCATGCGTGTATAACGGTTTGGTGGCCTCCTATCAAAAAACCCTGTTGTGAGCAGAATTCCCACTAAGGTCTATTTTTATGACATCGAGTCGCCTGGTCTGCCTAAAAACAGTTGAAACGTCGACGTCGTCCTATGGTTCCAAGAAGCCCCGAGTTAATGGATGATAAATAATTTTGCACACTCTCCTTAGCTCGCACAGAATATAAACTGCACGACATCCATCACCTACCGAATTAAGCCTGCTGTCTTACGAAAAAATTTCATAAAATTTCATTTTTAACGATTAAAATATGAAAAAAATAGCAACGCTGTGAGTATGTTTAAGACAGGGAATAGACCTGTACGGTTTTGTGAGTGATGGAGTTTTTGCCTGCTTTTCAACTGAATGTCTTTCTCATAAGCAATTCAGGCTATTGCTGTTTGGAGATAGAACGCCTGCAGCTATGCCTCGCCTGCCTGAAGCATACGGCAAGGATCTTGCAAAGGTTTGCGCGAATACACAAATTTAAACTGACTGTAGGTCCAGTTTTTCAATGCTGCAATTTTATCGAACAGATGAAAGACCATTGTGCCATATTTGGATTCACCAGATCCACCGAAATTATGCAGACATATGTGCATAGGTGTTGTACTTCATTGAATTTGTAAATATCATGTTAAACAAGTGCAAATTCCTTGGCCTCTACGGATACACTAAAGTAAAATCTAAATCACTCGAATAAGCCCACTACGTGACATGGTTGGAACTTCAGCTGGTAAAAAGTAGACGCATATTTAAGTCCCGGCGCCATGCTGTTTAAATATAGTTTCAGATGGCCTCCAAAAGTAATGCGCAACGAATCCTCAACTATGTGTCGGCTCCAAAGTATAACTTTGTCGGTAGATGAAGATACGCGTTTCTTACCTGCAGTAACAAAGTACGGAGGTTGTTTTTTCCAAACCAGGTACGACCATATATAGTAGGTGGGCTAACTCACGTAATGTTATGCGCTAGTACATGAAAATCCCTACAACGCAAAAGCCGCCCAACCTGCAATCCCCGACGTCCTACGGCCGTAAAAAACGACTGTTCACCAAACGAAGGCATAGTTAGAGTTGTAAATTAATATTTACTAACGTAAAAATAATTGATTTTAACTGATAACTGGAATTTCAGAAAATGGCCACATTGCAAATCGCTTAAATAAGGCATAATGAGGGAGGGTCGCAGGAAGTAGAAAAAATAATGAAAAAGTATCACATGTGCAAGATGAATATCTTGGTAATTGCACATTTGCATTCACCAGAGCAGAAAGTCCCTTAGGCATGGAGCTGGCTAGGTGGTCAATCATGGACTTTCCAATGTAGCTGTGTAGCACGAAATCAAGTTTTTCTTATAATGAAAGTCAACTGTTCGCATCCTGTCATCGTCTTTTGATAATTGCGGTAGATCTAGGATAGGATTGAAATCCGGGCTGTTGTCTGGGATGGAACTCGACTGGAGGTCACATGCGATGTGACTGGCCCTTTTCTTGGAAACAGTACAATTTATCAAACTTGCCCTCACCTGATTTTCATGAAAGCCAAATCGGATTTTTCCTTTTCAGATGGTATTTATCTCATACTTTTCCCGTTTTATTAATCTTTGTTTACAGCACGATGCACATAAATATGGCGTTTTAATCGGCAGATTTCAATAACATGGGAAAATATCTGAATATCAAGAAAGGTCAGATTTCGCCATATATGGCCTGTTTTCCTTTAATAAAGCTGATTTCAAGTGAATTCCTCTTCAGTAAATGAAATTCTATGTATTCGATTGGTTTAGTAAACACAAATAACAACACCAAATGCATGACATACTTCTCACTTAAACTTGGACTACGAAATTTCATGAGTTAGACCACATACAACAGGTGTTGTTATTCTCTGTGCTTCAGTTTCTCTGCGCTTCTATATGATCTGACGAAAGAAAAATTTTAGTTCCGTCTATAGAAGATCGAATAAAGTCAGTTCATGCTCTCACTCGCTGGAAAGTGCATGCTGATTTTTACTACTGATGCAGGAATTGCGTAGAAACATGTAGTTTCGACCTGGCATATGGCTTGCATATGACGCCCAACACATTACTTCCGTAGAACAGACCAAATTTCCCGCGGAAATGTTTACGAATGATCTACACAACATTTATTTCATATACAAATTTTGTAAAAAACATTTTATTAAAAGGGGCCAAATTAACGTAAGCAAGATTTCAATAATAAATGACAAATTACCTTCTTTCCTTGGTCTGACTTGTAATTGTACCTACCTGGAGTGCCTCTTAAATAATTATTGAGGGTATTTGTAATAAAGATAATGATTGCCCAGAATGTCCTGTGTCTTCTCTGACGGATATGTTACACCACAGAGTTTAGCTGATGACTCTAACCCAAAAATCATGGGAACTTCTCATTCAGAAAAAACGTTAGACGAACAATCACAATTAGGTAAGTAAAACCACTACGAACGCTAGAGGTTTTAGGATTACTCGAAAGAATCAAAAGATATCATAACATGAACCTATATTCCATATGTCCTTTTCGAAACAAGTGCATCTGGAGCAGTAAGCTTCATGTATTTCCAAGTAGAGCGTAAACAAAACCGACTTTTAAAAATTTCACGAGAGCACATATCAACTGTCGGTTTATAGTAATTGAGCAGCGGCAGACTGTTATAATTTTGGTTGCGCGAGAACGAACACAAAACTTTTTTTGTCTTATACGAAAGAAGTATTAGTCAAAAATGAACAATAGGGGCATATACAGTAGATTTGCTGTCTGTTGAAGCGTTGACCGAGATTTCCAAATGTGTCTTCGATCCAAAACGATTAACTATACAGAGTTGGGACATTAATTAACACACAGTCTCGCCAGCATGTTAGCTTTTGAATGCACTTATTTTGGATCGACTAAAATATGACTGCTTATGCAGTATGAGTTTTCCCGCTCCTTTTTTATCCTTACAAATTCAAATATATTTTGCAGGAAACCTGCGCACGATATTGTTCTACTCATTTGGTAACAAATTACATAATTGCATTTTT